TCTTTCACACTCTCTCTACCACGCTTAAATTCTGCTATACATTTTTTGACGGATGAATATGACAGAGCACAATCGCCTAATGTACTGACCATGTCATCATGGATGGCTTTTGATGATAGCCCCTTCTTATGGAGGTACTTAATGACGGCACGCTGCTCGATTTGCTCCATTCGCGGAAATTATGTCCGATTACTGTGTTAATAAATTTATAAAATCACAACTAATTATCGCACACGTTTCGAACTTCACACAATGAACTAGTCTGAACTGAACTAAATAATGTGGGTAGATTTGATTTTTAGAATTGAATGGATCTGTGTTAGGCCGTATCCGATCCGATCTGTATCTTTTTTATAGAATAAATGGTGAGAAACAAGCACACAGTCCACTTTTTGGTAAATGGATGTATATCCTCAGTTAAGAATCAAAATGCAGATGTGTTGCTATCCCTGAGGACTAAGATGGAATGCCTCGTTTCATGTAAAAAGAATCTCCGGTGCTCTACACTCACCATACGAAACACAGCAGCATTGAGCTGATTCTGTGAGACCGCGGTCCTTCCCTGGTTGAGCTGACCATAATATAGCTGCAGTATGGCTTTACCACGTCAAACGTGTCTGTCTTCGACGTGACGCATTACTGTCAAATGCACATTTATTTATTAAAATATACAAAAAAAAAAAAGTATTAGGATATAGTGTTAGTGGCTATACACGTGATAGTCATCGTCCTAATTGGCAACGATCGTACGAGCAAACGATGCGATTTCATCGCACGACGAGATTAAACACGCGTTTCTTTAGAGTGACGTGACGCATTACTGTCAAATATACATTTATTTATTAGAATTTAAAAAGATATTAGAATATAGCGTTAGTGGTTATACACGTGATAGTCATCGTCCTAATTGGCAACGATCGTACGAGCAAACGATGCGATTTCGTCGCACGACGAGATTAAACACGCGTTTCTTTAGAGTGACGTGACGCATTACTGTCAAATATACATTTATTTATTAGAATTTAAAAAGATATTAGAATATAGCGTTAGTGGTTATACACGTGATAGTCATCGTCCTAATTGGCAACGATCGTACGAGCAAACGATGCGATTTCATCGCACGACGAGATTAAACACGCGTTTCTTTAGAGTGACGTGACGCATTACTGTCAAATATACATTTATTTATTAGAATTTAAAAAGATATTAGAATATAGCGTTAGTGGTTATACACGTGATAGTCATCGTCCTAATTGGCAACGATCGTACGAGCAAACGATGCGATTTCGTCGCACGACGAGATTAAACACGCGTTTCTTTAGAGTGACGTGACGCATTACTGTCAAATATACATTTATTTATTAGAATTTAAAAAGATATTAGAATATAGCGTTAGTGGCTATACACGTGATAGTCATCGTCCTAATTGGCAACGATCGTACGAGCAAACGATGCGATTTCATCGCACAACGAGATTAAACACGCGTTTCTTTGGAGTGACGTGATGCATTACTGTCAAATATACATTTATTTATTAAGATATACAAAAAAGTATTAGAATATAACGTTAGTGGTTATACACGTGATAGACGTCGTCTTAATTGGCAACGATCGTACGCGCAAACGATGCGATTTCGTCGCACGACGAGATTAAACACACACGTTTTTTTAGAGCGACCTGACCAATTCCTGTCAAATATACATTTATTTATTAAGATATACAAAAATATTAGAATATAGCGTTAGTTGTTATACACGTGATAGTCGTCCTAATTGTCAACGATCGTACGAGCAAACGATGCGATTTCGTCGCGCGACGAGATTAAACATACGCTTCTTTAGAGTGACGTGGCAAATTACTGTCAAATATACATTTATTTATTAATATATACAAAAAAAATATTAGAATGTAGCGTTAGTTGTTATACACTTGATAGTCGTCCTAATTGTCAACGATCGTACGAGCAAACGATGCGATTTCGTCGCGCGACGAGATTTAACACACACATTTCTTTAGTGTTCTAATTGAAGTTTGAAAGTGATCGCAAGAGCACAAAAAATGTTTAATAATGATCGTACGATGGGTTTGATCGTATGATCGTGCAATAAAAATTACAAATTCCTTTTGAGTGTCCTAAACGGTCACGCGTCATCGCGAAAGGGCCCTACGAGTCGAGTTAGAGACTAGAGTAAAAAACATCTCAGTAAACAGTCATTCATGAAATGGCACCGTTGCGGTGACAGCGCGCTCTTGGACACGATAAGGAAGACTTAGTTTTTTGTTAGTTTATGTCAACTATGAGACAAGTATGGTACATACGTGGGAAACGTGTACACATGTCTTCTATAAATTTTTAATTGTGTATGAATAGTTATTTTTTTCAATTGTATTCTTATTTAATTATATTTTTCGCCTATTTTCCTTAAAGGCTAAGTAAGTAATTTCATTTAAATAATAAATTTAATTTTATAAGCTGTGGTGAGTCATTTAAAAAAACATATCGAAAAGGTTACACTTACAAAAGACACAATCGTTTGTGAAAAGGTTAAATGATAATGATGTCTCTTCTCTTCTCTATATAGTATAAAACAAAGTCGCTTTCCGTCTCTGTCGTTCTGTTTATCCGCTAACTCCTAAACCATGCAACAGATTTTGATGCAGCGGTTTTCACCGTCAGTAAAATATTTTTCATGGAAGTTTTATATCCTAATTTAAGCTTATAGTGTAAGTAGAAAAAAATTATTTTGTAACCAAATCGCCAAAAAAAAAAAATCAGTTTTCATGGCTATTTAGCCCTAAGATATACATCAAAATGATCTACTAGAAAATTGTAGTTCTTGAAAATTCCTAGAGACAACTTCGAGATGATAATATCTTTATCTCCTATGGTTGACTCTCAGTAACAATTTTCTTTAAAATTTTAATTACAAATGTTACTTTATTAATCCTTATTTAGATAATTATGTTAGTGACCTTGGACCTAAATGGAGATTATAATTGTATTTTACAATATTCATTCTAATGAATACTTTTAGAAGTTAGCAAACATTAAAAATTACGCGCAGCAATAACCTTACGTAATTATTTCGCAGTAACGATGAAAAATATATTATTCATATTTTTTTTTTGATAAGCGAACTTCAACTTATATTCTAAATTGCTCCCGTGCTGGGTGGGTCACTAGTTTTATTATATAATTAATATCGCTATACTTAGTCTTACAAGTTTTTGCACTAAGCTTAATCTTACTTTCTATGACGACGTGTTGCCTTTGGAATAACTATTGAGTGTTTATTGCTTATTGTGCTGTGGTTCCTGGCTGCTGTTTGTTGAAAATGAACCTGGGGAGCATAATTTAATATGGAATGCTTCGTTTCCAGTAAGAAGGGTCTCCGGTTCCAGTCACTCAGCATACGAAAAACATCAGCACTAAGCTGCTATTTCACGCTGATATTCTGTGAGAGCGTGGTCCTTTCCCCGGTCGGGTCAACCCATTGTAGCTGCAGCCATAATGGACTTGCTCTACGGTGCATAAAATTGAATTTAATTCAAACCTATCTTTCCGATAATATACAAAATGTTCGCTTGAATTGAAATCGGGTTTATGTTACAATTCTGCCTATAAACTGGGAGCCGTGATAATTTAGGGGAAAGAAAGGAGGAAAGAAAGCCGAGTTCAATATCCGACGTCAGGTTTACCACGTGGTGGTGAAGGAAAACATCGAATAAACTCGCATGTCTGTGAAATTAAACGCATTTGACATTTCGATAACATGTGAAGTTCATTACCATGTATTGAGGCATTTCCGCTTCCCCACTCTGGCAGTTTCTCAGAAGTGAGAATATAGGGTTATTTTTCAATAACCGGCCAAACTTGCAAAAAAGGTTCAGAATAAGTAATAAAGGCAAATGGTGAAGAAAAATGTATATAAAAAACCACAATTATGTCCTTTTTATCTTTTAAATTCAGAATGCGTGATAATTTTAACTGATTTTACTGCGCACGCACACATTCGTAAGGGTCGATCGGAAGACAAAAACGTTGTTACCCATGAATCACATTCAATTTGGGATAATTTCAAATAAAAGTAAGAGCCTTATTTACTCGTATTTAAAAAACCAGCAATAACGGTGTATCATTAATTATATATTTGAACTTAAGTTTAAAATATGGCTAATCTTTAAAAAATACGAGTAACCCAGTATATTAATTTACTCTTTGAATGAAAGGAAGCCTGTGCCCTTTGACACCTAATAGGCTGTTATTTCTACATTTACGTATGAAATGTTTACGGGCACATTTCTGTAATACCTTTATATGCCTGCAAGTTCAGGAACTATTTACTACCAAATTATGTATAATTATCGGTTTACTCGTTGCGAAACTGAACATGACCTCGCTCCATTAGCGCCAATTTAGTTAATTATGACAGTTATTCGGAGCTTTCAACTTAAACCTTATATGAAACTTGTACACGTTATCTACGAATAAATTAAGTTTCAAGGCTTTTACATTTGCAACGACGAGGTATCATCAGTTTAGACTTATTCAAGAATAATATTCATTATATATATAATTGCAGTACTAGACTTCCGCACCTTTACCACTGCTGCCCTTCGCCAGTCTGGGTATTTGAAGTCTGCTGTTATCGAGACGGTATACCGCCATCTTACGGAAACTATAAGATCTTTCTGTTAATTTTTTTAAAAAGAATATTAACAATGCTATAAACATTACTAATATTCCCCTTAACTACTCGTGGTAAGCTTAAATTGCTTGTGTTACGAGTGGTTCACGCAAGTAGTCGAATGGTGGATTCGAACCTACGAACTTTTTGAGTTCGCGGTCCGCGCCCTGCCATTAGGCTACTGTCGCTTTCTGTTAAATTAATATATGATTTGTTAAAACTAATGTGGACTTCAGTGGAATGTGAACTGAACTACAGAGCTATTAAAGGTGGTTTTTACGAAACTTAAAATTTATTGTTTTGTCTACCAGGACTTCAGGAATGGAAGGTAGTATCACAGTAAACGGCATGGAGCGCAACCTGTCCAGTTTCCGCAAGCTGTCGTGTTACATCATGCAGGACAACCAGTTGCACGGGAACCTTACTGTCGAAGAGGCGATGTCTGTTGCCACCGCGCTCAAACTGCCAAGTGCTACAACTAGAGGTGATAAGGAAGAAGTGGTAAGTTGAAAAAATACTTTAAAGTACTGTTTGAATTATGTTGCCGTGCCGCTCAGGGGCTTAGCGTTTGCTGTAAATTTCACAGAACACGAGCAACCCGTTTTCGTTGCCCGCCGGCACCGGTGAAATTGTTCATTGAAATTTTAAGTGCCGATTTACCATGTGTTCGACGGTGATGGAAAACATCGTGAGGAAACCTTCGTGTCTGAAAAATAAAAAATAATATTTCGAATACATGTGAAGATCGCCAACACGCATTAGGGTAGCCCTAAAACCCTTAGAAATGAAGGGAGGCCTGTGCTTTTTGAATTAAATGTTAAAATAAATATTATCAGAAAAATTGGATTATTCACTTTTGGCCGCAGGAGTAACTGTATCCAAAACAATTTTGACTATAGCTCCCTTATTCATAAACATTTTTAAACACTTGATTAGTATAGTTTTAGTCACTTTCTAGCAACAAGTGACTCGCAAATTTCAGAATGAGACAAAACACTATTTCTTCGTTCCTCGTTTCTTTTCCTTTCTGTTCCTATTATGCGCTATTCGGTAACTTCCAGCTCTTCTTTTGTGTAATTATCCTTTCGCTTGGCATTACGCTCTAAATTGAAGTGCGTTGTGTAGGGTGTGCAAAAAAATTAACTAAACATTCGTGAGTCCGTTAATAGTTTACTGCTGAACATGGGATACTAATACGTATATGTTATAAAGTTTTATAATTTTATTTTTTGTTGCATTTGCCGCAAAATAAATAAATGAAGTAAAAATGGCGGTAAGTTATACTCTGTGGTCTACGCGATATCATGAAGTTGATGTACTAATAAGAAAATGCAAACCTTACTTTATTCAATCCTGTTTTATCTTACGAACCAAACGTCAATTGCTGAATATAGGTCTCGCGCGTAGATTGTTTGATCGCTGGTCAGGTGGCTCGGCGACCGCTTGTTATCAGGAGTTTTAAGCTATTGCATAGCTTCTATCGCGGGCCTTGAGCGCGGGGACCGAATCCAGAAATTCCGTAACGAAAAAAAACTTCACGCTCCTCACTCCGACGGGCACGGAGGTGTGGCGTTGAAAGCCGTGCATCGTTTAACGTCGTTTTAGTTCGGCAGACTTCGGCACGGTGTTTGCGTGCGTGTACACTAGCTGCTAACTCAATGATAAAAATTCCTGAATAACCTACATGTATTGTAAAATATTAAAAATATTTTAAACAATATTAACTTCTCATTTATTCAATAAGGGAAAAAAATTGTTTTCTTATCGGTCACCACGCTCAAAAAGTGTAACTTGATTTAATATCAAGGACTTAACTGCATAAATAAAATAAATAAATAATTATAATTGCATAAGTTGATAAAAATGCTATGCAATAGCTTTACCGCGGCAGTCACCGAGTGTCACACGTATTTTTTGCTGCTCTTCTATTGTTTCAGTTCCATCTGTCGCCCTTTGCCACACGCACCGCCACTACTTGGCTATCTTTGAACTATTTCACATATAGCGTCTAGGAAATTTTTTTATATTTTTTTATTGGGTGACAAACGGGCACACAGTCCACCTGGTAGTAAGTGGATGTTGTGGCCAATAGACATCTACATTTATCCTCGATTAAGAATCAAAATGCATATGCGTTGTCGCCCCTGAGGACTAAGATGGAATTCCTCGTTTCCAGTAAAAAAAGGTCTTCGGATCACTCATCATACGAAATACATTATTTAGCTGCTATTTTACGCTGGTATTCTGTGAGAGCGATGGTCAACGTACCGCCATTGTTGGTGGCCAGACGATATTTATATCATGTCCCACAGTGGCCTCGTATGACACCACCAATACGGATAGTTATGATATAATCTCTTTCTCCAAAACACGATAATAATAAGTACCTGTTTGACATAAGTATAACAATTAACACTATAACTTGTAGTTGAAGTTTAAAAATATTCACTTTACCTAGAGAGAAAATACCAGGTGATGGACAGTAGCGTCTATCTAATAACAACTCTTAAAATAACTGCCAACTCGCATGCCAAGCCTGGCAACTATGGCAAATATCCCCCCCTCCCTATGGAGCAATCTATACGGCAAGCCTGTATTCAGAAGTGCACTTTTGAAGGACTGCAAAGGTAACGGTAATATAAATAACGCTACAATCAAGCTCATAATACCAATCTGGACGAGTTTTGTGAATTTGCTTAAGTAAGCTACACACAAGTACGTAACAACAAATTATTAGGAATATGCGTCCGTATGTGATGTAAGTTGGTATATACGCTTTGTATTTATGTAACCGTGCAGCGGTTTTGTAAGAATATCCACTAACCAATATCATCACATGCGTGTGGTGAGAGGCGACAGAGATTTTTGTGTACGTGGTAGAGCTACGCTGCAGCTATATTATGGTTGTAGCACGAATGGGTCGGCTCGACCGGAGCAGGACCACGCTCTCACAGAATACCAGCGTAAAATAGCAGTTTAATACTGCCGTGTTTTGTAAGGTGAGTTCAGAGATACGGAGACCCTTTTATACTGGAAACTAGGCATTCCATCTTAGTCCCCAGGGGTGACAACGCATCTACATTTTGATTCTTAATCGAGGATAAATCTAAATGTCTATAGGCCACATCCAGATATTCTGACCTTCTGTGTTCGTCCATCGTACCGTCGTCCGTCTTGTAGAATCACGGTGGCACCACCTAGCTGAATTTAATTTTGCAACATATTCGATTTTCCCACGGAAATGATATGTTTTTCCGCTGAAAAAAGTATACTATGTCACTCTACAGCCACCGAACTATCCCCATACCAAAATTATGCCATGCCGACGCTCTGGGGTGAAAAAAGGACAAACAAACAAACAAACACACTTTCGCATTTATAATATTAGTATGGATGGTGAGTGGCGAAACGGAGACCCTAGTTAGTGAAAATGAGGCATTCCATCTTAGTCCACTTTCTATCAGGTGGCTGTGTGTTCGTTTGTCACCATTATTCTATAAAAAATAAAAATAAAAACCGAACCAGATAGACAGCGACATATTTTTGATTAACAGCTGAATAACAATAAAACTGTGGTTGTGAAACCGTTTGCCGAGCGTGGCAAAAATGGCAGGTATCTCCCCTATGAGTCAATCTATGGGGGAGGCCTATGTGTGGACTTTGATAAGGTGTAATGAAATACAAAATAACGCATCGGAGACCGATAGGCCCTCATCGGGTTGGTGGTAATCGTAATTTATGTAAAAAAATCACATGTAATCTTTTTATTTATAGATTCAAGAAATTCTGGAAACCCTTGGCCTGTCAGAGCATCACAAAACGATGACGTCGAATCTCTCTGGTGGTCAGAAGAAGCGTCTCTCCATAGCCTTGGAGCTCGTCAACAACCCACCTATCATGTTCTTTGACGAGCCCACCTCAGGGCTGGATAGTTCCTCATGTTTCCAATGCATCTCTCTACTGAAGACCTTGGCTAGAGGCGGACGAACTATCATTTGCACTATCCACCAACCCTCGGCCAGATTGTTCGAGATGTTCGATCATCTGTACACATTGGCAGATGGTCAGTGCGTTTATCAAGGAAACACGGGGAGACTGGGTGAGTGAATTTGCTTTTTAACCTAGATTTTAACTTTAGATTAATTAAAAGGTGTTCGTGGCCTATATTCAGAGACAAACTCGAGTTTAAACTGAAACTTAACAATATCAAAATTTGAGTTCATTATATTACACAAATAAATACAAAACGAGCACACAGTCCACCTGTGTTATGGTCCATAGACATCTACATCTATCCTCGATTGCGAATCAAAATGCAGATGCGTTGTCACCCGTGAGGTCTAAGATGGAATGCCTCGTTTCCTGTTAAAAAGGTATCCGGATCTATACACTCACCATACGAAACACAGCAGCGTTAAGCTGCTATTTTACACTGGTATTATGTGATAGCGTGATCCTTCCCCGGATGAACCGACCCATTCGTACTACAACTATACCAGTAGTATAGCTGCGACATGGCGCTACCACGTGAAACAAACACAAACAACAATGTTTATCGCATGTGTCAGATATGGTGCGATTGTTTCTCGATTTGTATTATACAATTGGCGATGAGAATAATTTACGCGTGCAGGTACTGTTTGTTATAAACGTTGAACATTATGGCAAGTGACGAAAATGTGATGTTGAAACATGGTCTATTTTCAATCACCGAATTCATCATTGTTCAATTTTTTAAAGGCAAAAGTTTTGTGTAAGGCGTGAAATAACATAGGAATTGGACAAACCAGGTTTTGAAACGTCGAAAAAAGGTCCCCTTTTTTGGCATCTTTATTAGAAACATTGCTTTTGCATAATATTTGGAAGGTTTGGATTACGCGAAGTGAATTAAAA